TTTTACATCTTATGCTCAGCAGTAATATGCTAGGCTAGAAAAACAAGGCAAAAAAAAAAGGCCTACAGTCTTTACAGGTGTCAGATGTCTATTTTAAAACTATGTCTTGATGTAAAATGAAAATAATTAGGCAACAACTTCATATAGAGCAAGCCTGTTGTAAAACCGGCACTAAGTAGCTTTGGAATCTTAGTTAAATCCCTTAACTTATGAGCTTTAAGTTTTCTTAGGTGAAACCTCAGTGTTTAGTTACAGGATCACTGAGGGCTTTTTGACTCTATGCCTTAATAACCAACAAATGCTGTTATAATAGTGATACCACAAGAAGATGGCTGTAACAAACAGAAATTCATTCTCTTAAGACTGAAGAGGTTAGAAATCTAAATTCTGGATGCCAGTTCCAAGGAAGGCAGTGTTATCTAAAGTCCCCGTTTCCCTCCAAATCTACTGTTGTTGCATATTGTGGAGTCAGAACCGACTTGGGTTTTCAGAGGCAGTTAATCACACAGGAGGAGACTGGCCATACTTCTCCCATAGAGCAGCTGGTGGATTCAAACCACATGCTTTCGGGATTGCAGAGCAACTTCTTGCCACTAGGTTACTGTCACCCTTATATTTTCATAATATTATATGATAATTTTACCAAGGTTATAAAATTCTCCACAAGTTTTTCCTGTAGAGGGTTAAGCCAGACTGCTCCTTGGAGGCAAGGATTCTGAAGCTTTGTCTGACATACTTTGGACATATTGCAAGAAGAGATCAGTCTTTGGAGAGGCACGTCATGTTTGGGAGAGTGGAGGGACAGCACAGGAGAGGAAGACCTTTGAGCAGATGGATTGATTCAGTCACTGGGGAAATGGGAATAGGCGTGTCAAAGACAATATGCTTGTCAAGGGACAGAACAGGGTTTAGGGCTGTTGTACATAGGGTCACTATGAGTCGCAGGCGACTCGATGACACATAACAAAAACAAAGCGGCCAGTTATCATCTAAGATGCTGCTCTTACTCTTCCTGAACACGCCACAGCCATGTTTCTCAGCAGCACAGTGTTGTGCTTTCACTAGGAGCTTCAATTTTCTTAAGTCAAAACTTAATGTTTACTTACAGGATCACTAAGGACTTTTTTGACCCTGTGCCTTAATAACCATCAAATGGACAGCCTATATCTTCTAAACTTGATCTTTTACTATGGAAACTTCAGACCCTGGGAACAGTCATAGAGTAGGCCCTCTCTGGGTAATTCCTAGAATAATTTCCCAAGTTTCAAAACCAAAACATTCTGTCATCATTTGTCACCATTAGAATACTTTGTGGTATCTCCCACTCTTGTTATTTTAATTATTAATAGTAATTATGTATTATCTATTATTAACCTTACTGTGTACTGTGGTTGGCCTAGGAATAAGGGTTATACTACTAACCCAAAGACATACAGTTCAAATCCACCAGCTGTTCCTTGGAAGAAAGATGGACAATCTTATCTTCTGTAGTTTACAGCCTCTGAAAACCTGCTGGAGGGTCAGTTAGGAATCATTTTCACCTGGAGGGCACAGTAAGACCTTCAATACAAGCTTACTATGACCTTCAGTAGGGGGAGCAGTAAAGAAGACTCTCAACAAGATGAGTTGACACCTGGACTGTAGCGCTGACTTTAAGGACAGTGGAGACTGTGAGGATGGAGCAGGATTGGGTAAGGTTTCATCCCACTGAACATATCAAAGTATGACTTATAGTCAACTTGACAGCAGCTAACAAGAACAACTTCAATCTATCTCTATAGGGCTTGCAAAGTTTAGAAGGAGAATGGATGCCTTTAAACTATGGTACTGGTGAGGAGTACTGAATATACTATGGACTGCTAGGAGAACAAACAAATTTATCCTAGAGAAGGTGAAGCCAGTCTGCTCCTTGGAGGGAAGGACTCTGAAGCTCCATCTGACATACTTTGGACATGTTGTAAGAAGAACATCATGCTTGGGAAGGTGGAGGGACAGCACAGGAGAGGAAGACCCTCGATGAGATAGATTGATTCAGTGACTGGGGTAATGGTGGTAGGTGGATCAGACAATAAAATTGGCAAGGGATTCAGAGCAGGGTTTAGGGCTGTCATACATAGGGTTGCTATGCAGGTGACTCGACGACTCATAAAAACAACCACGTTTCCTTTAAGCTTTGGTTCTCAAACTCTCTTTTTTGCCTTTGCCTTAAGCTTTGCTAGAATCAGTGTATGTACTCTATGTTAGCGGATTAAAAAAAATACGCATACATGTTCCAAGTTTGTTATCAATGCTTTATTGTTGAAAACAAAATTGAAATTCTCTGGCACATAAAACAATTATTTCTACAAAAGGAAAGCCTACAAATCTTGATAATTTATACAAATAACAGCTTCTCAAAAAATAAAATTTTAATTTAGTAAACTTGTGTTGTGCTCTATATTTTTAGCACTGTCTGCAATAATCCACCATAAATCCCTGAGCGGAGACATTTTTTTGATCATGTTTTAACACCCCCCAAGACCCTCCCCCCATTAGTCGATCAGTTACTAAGCCTGGCCCTGTAGTGAAAGGTGTCAGGGACAGTTAGCTATTAAAGATCCATGTGTTTTACGACACAGGCCCAATTATCATTGCTACATGGGAATTGGATAAACATGGAGTGCTTCTACTGTGCAATCAGTGAACATAGGAAGGGCTAAGTATTCGAAAGAAAGAAGAAGAAGAAGAAGAAGAATTAAAAACCAAACATAATGTTAAGATCAAGGAATCATCATAGGTCAATAACTATTTAAATAAATAAAAGTGTTAGACACTGAATTAGCTCTATATTCTTATATTATATTCCTTTTTTTTATTTTTGTAGTTACAAATGTCATAGAATATGCAAAACCACACTTCAACCTACTCTTTTGGTTTGACCACAGATTTTATGTTGCTGTTAAGTATTCTAAACACTTGGTGATTTGAATTATAATTTGACTTGGTCCTTCAATGAAATACTCACAAATTAATAAATTTAAGAGGACCATCTAATTAATGCTATTGGAATAGTTTCTCACTACTTTTTGCCCTCACCATAGAGACATCAATGCCATGAGAACACTACTTTTAATCCGTATCCCACTGTATTCAAAGATATGGCAAAATGTGTAAAACACAAAGGAGAAAACAGAATATGATGCATATGCACGACCCGATTCTCTTTAATGGGGATACTCATCGTTAAATATATGGAATGTGAAAGAAAATGAGACTATGGTACCTTAAATTGCAAAGAAATGGCTTAAAGAATGAAACTTTTCTTCTGTTATTTTGCTACCTTAGAATAATAAATAAATAAATATGGAGAGTATGGAAAAGCTACTTTCTCTGTGAAGAGGTTATAATAAACTGGTGATCTACAAAGTTAATTTTTAGTAACAAAGTTGACCTATGACTAAAAAAAAGTTTCAATAAATGTTCTCTTCTACTTCATTTATAATTCTTTACTCTTGAAATTATCACTGAAGTGGATACTAACAGGTAATAAAATAAATACCAATTTGCTACAGAAAAATAGTTTTCAAGTGAGAAAAGCATCCCATTAGAAAAAAAGAAAGTCAACAAAAAAAATCAAAAGAATCAACTAGAAATTCTTGGGGTAATTCGACATATTATTGCAACTTAAGGTGTGTCATTTTTGATATATTTTAGAAAGAAAAAATAGGGATATGACAGGAAATAATGACTTGAAGACTTACCAGCATTACTACTGAGATACATATTAGAAAGCAATTAGCATTCTACGCTAACTCTTTCCAACATCTAAAATCATTGGCAATCATCTTTACACACTCCTTTGGATACAAACTTATTTTTGAAAGAGCAACCTCTGGGATGCACTAACAACATTCCACTTTATCTAACAGCTGCTAATTAGGTAGTGGAATTGGAGAACTAATAAACTTCCCTTGCATTGATCTGTATGAAACCTTGGAAATTAACCAAGAACAGTCATTCTAAAAGATCATTTCAGAAGCCTAGTAATTAAAGTCTGTATTTGAGGCCCTTAGATGGCACAAGTGGTTTGTGAGAGGCTGCTGATTTAAAGTGGGGTGGTTTGAATGTACCAGGAGTGCTGTGGAGGAAAGGCCTGATGATTTCCTTCCATGATGATTACAGCCATTGATACCCTATCGAGTAGTTCTCCTCTGTAATGCAGACCCAACATCACCAGCATGAAGAATGCAATGCATTCTGCCAGGCAGCTGGGGGGAATGGTGACTATGAAATTTAAAAAAAAAAAATTAAATAAAAAAAGAAGATGCCTGCTTAGTCTCTCTTACAAAACCAATGCACCAATGTGAAATGTCATTAGTCCTACTCCCCATACTCATTTCAGAACATGAGACTCAAATGATGCTCACAAGAGTGAAGTCTGTGACAGTCAAGTAAAATGTTATGTGCATTAGGCAGGAAGCAATTGCACATCCTGACAGATCCTGACACAGTATTTTAAAAGGGAAGGGAGAGGAAAATTTTTCCAAGCATTAGAAATTGATAAGCAGGCTGTCCCAAGGAAGATAGCAGTGTTAGGACAACCAGCCAACGCGTTTCAAACACTCTCTCTTAATCCTTGATTTGACAGTTTATCGTGGTTGTGTGGACACTGGTTTCCTCTCACAGTGTTTAAAGAATAATATAATTTTGAAATTAGCTTTCCGAAATGAATACTATCTGTACCTTAGACTCTCCTCCTTTTTATATAAAGACTGCTAAAAGCCTTTGTCTTAAGTGCTCTGGTTTTGTTTTGTGGGTAACAACTATATCTGTCAGGAGTTTGCCAATGTTCTTTTTTTTTTTTTTTTTTTTGGTGTTTACAGCTGCACCAGCCGCAACTTGGGACTCTCCCAGAAGTGGAGGTGCCCTTAGTGATCATGGCCTCTGGTCTGGAAGTCTAATGAGCTCTTGTCGTCGCACTGCTGGGAAGTTCTGTTTGTTAACGAAGTCATCTTTCAAAATGGAAGAGGGCATGATCTTGCCTCCTGTGTCAGGTCTTAGAAGTCTTTAGACCTTGCTTTTCCATGATATTCCACAGTTTGCGGAGATTCGATTGAGTGATGACATCATCTGGTTTGAGCTGCAAGGCCCTCAGGTAGTTGGCCTCGGCCTTCTGGAGTCTGCCATTGAGGTGGAGAATAGCTCCTAGGTTCATCAGAGCAGCCGGGTACTGCAGCAAGGGAAAGGAAGGAAAACAATTTAGAGGCCATGTCAAAATTCCCTTCATGGAACACCAAAATCTCCATCCACTTATGTAAATGATTCCCTTATGGCTGGAAGCATTTTATGGAAGCAATTGAGCCATTTAGACAAATAGACAAAGACAACCTTGGAGGAATAAAGGTTTCAAACAGCTGTTGTGTGCTCTGCACTTTCAATAGGGCAGGTGGAGAGAGAAATTATTATTTTTTTTTTCTTTAATGGAACATACAGGTTACACATGAACACCTAGTAACTGAATCAGATACATTTTTCTGAGGAAAAAATGTAAAAATGTTTCAGCTTTGCCTACAAAACACTGAATATTGTTTTAAAGGCCTTGCCAAGAAATACTCAGTAGGGAATGTTAATAAATCTATGTCCACTTTCCTTCAGTTTTCACTATTCATTCTTAAAATACATACAGTGTCTAAAATTTTACCAATGTTTTCAAGAGAACACCCCAAAGAATCCAAATGTAGCCATTATGGAATTAGCATAATAGTTTGACAAGAAGAAATGTTTACTTATTTTTAAACAGTCAATGTCATACTATCAGGAATATTTTCAACAGATATATAGCAATGTTAAAACATACAAAAATAGTTAAATATGATCCATACTATACAAGTTTACCATAAAAATGATTTTATTAATATATAAATAATTCTCAAACCTAAGAAATGCTAGAAATTATATAAAATCTCAGTACAATGCTATCACATGAAAAGTTTTAAAAAGTGTATGAGTTATGTAAAAACTATCTTAACACAAAAGAATAAATCTCAAAATTCTTAAGATATTAGTTAACAACAAACCTTTACCAGAGGAAAAAGATCTTTTATTTTGTAGGAATAATAGTTTTCTGCTCACTTGTTTCTAGAACATTCTGGGTACATATAACTACTGGTATATTGACAGTTACATAAATGTATTATTACAAATATCAGGTAAAATATTAAATGTTTTTCTTATAATGACATCCTTATAATATCAATTAATGATTGTTCACACAATTCTGTAAAAAAAAATCACAATATTTGTACTACTTAATATTGTACAGTGCAAATACTTTTCAAACAAACTCACACAACTCTATTCTTTACTGCTAAACAACATTATTTTGTAACCAAAAACAATGTTAAAAGAAGGATAGAAGAGCTGGGAATAAGTCAACCAAATGGTGACAAATGGTAAGATAGGGATTGTAAGAAATCTAGATTTCACATGCAAGCAAGATTCTACTGAAGATTATTAAAAAACAACTGGAACAGCACATCAACAGAGAACTGCCAGAAATCCAGGCTGGGTTTAGAAAGGGTCATGGTAATAGGGATATTGAAGCTAATGTTAGATGGATCTTAGCTGAAAGCAGAAAATACCAGAGGAATGTCTATCTGTGTTTCATTGACTATGCAAAGACGTTTGACTGTGTGGATCATAACAAACTGTGGCTGACTCTCAGAAAAATGGGAATCCCAGAACACTTGATCGTTCTAATGCGAAACCTATACTTGGACCAAGAGGCAGTAGTTAGAACAGAGCAGGGAAACACTGCATGGTTCAAAATTGGGAAGGGCGTACGCCAGGGATGCATCCTACCTCCATGCCTTTTCAACCTATATGCAGAACAGATTATCCGGGAGGCTGGGCTCTATGAGGAGAAGTGTGGTGTCAGGATTGGTGGAAGATTCATCAACAATCTGCATTATGCAGATGACACAACCCTGCTTGCTAAACTGAGGAGGACCTGAAGGGCTTGCTACAGAGGGTCAAGGACTGCAGCCTCCAATATGGATTGAGGCTCAATGTCAAGAAGACAAAGATTCTCACCACTGGACCAATTGGCAGCATCAGGATGGATGGTGAAGAGATTGAGAATGTTCAAAGCTTTAGTTTGCTTGGCTCCACAGTCAACACTCTCGGCACTAGCAGCCAGGAAATTAAAAGACGTACTGCCATGGGAAAATTTGCTGTTAGGGACCTCTTCAGGGTACTGAAGAGCAACAGTGTCTCTCTGGAGACTAAGATGCATCTGATACAGGCCATGGTCTTTTCTATCACTTTTTTTTTTCTCTATCACTTTTTATGTGTCAGAGAGCTCGACAATGACTAAGGAAGATAGAAGGAGAATTGATGCCTTTGAGCTGTGGTGCTGGAGAAGAGTATTGAGGGTACCATGGACTGCTTGGAAACCAAAAAGAGTCATCCTGGAAAGGATTAAACCGATGGCTCCTGGGAAGCAAGGATTCTGAGGCTCCATCTAACATACTCTGGACATGTTGTAAGGAGGGACAGGTCCTTGGAGAGGGACATCATGCTTGGTAGGGTGGAGGGACAGCGCAGGAGGGGAAGGCCCTCAATGAGGTGGATTGATTCAGTGACTGGGGTAATCGGCATGGGTGTATCGGTGACAGTGCAATTGGCACAGGACAGAGCAGAGTTTAGGGTTGTTGTACATAGGGTCGCTATGAGTCTCAAGCGACTCGATGGCACATAACAACAACAACAACAACAGCTTTGTGTTGGTGCTCAACAGCTACTTGATTTTAATAGGTCTCCTAATAAAGCTGTATTCCAATTCTGTCTCTGTAAAATGTTGAAATAACATTTTTTTAGGTTGTTAGAGAAAATAAAGCACAGAGATGTATACAGCAGACACTTCACAAATACCAAGTCACTCTTTCTTGTCTCATTTTGCTTGTCATCTTTATGTTACTATGGCAAAGGCGCTCTGGTGGCATAGTCTATAGTGTGTTGTGCCACTCCCAAAAGGCTGGGGCTCAAATCTCCTAGTGCTTCCTAGGAAGCATGGGAAATATCCTCCCATTTATAGCCTTGAAATCTGATGCATGGTCATCATGAGTTTGAAGTGACCCAACACCAGTGAGTTTCCTGTTTTAATATTCAAACCAACTCAACTCTTTGCTGTCAAGACAGAACCAACTCATGGCTTTTTCTCCAGTGTGTCTTCAGGGGCTGCAAAACATATGGAAGGTCACTGCTCACCTTTCTCCCAAGAAGAGCAGGTGTACCCAAAGCACCTGCCTTTGAGTTGGTAGCACAACTCTTAACCACTAGGCTATCAGAGCTCCCCCTTTTAAAAATAGTGTTTATAATTTTGATTTAAATGAATGTATAATATGTCCCTGAATGCATACCCAACCTGTATGTTTTTAGAAAATTGTAATTTTAGTGAAAATTTACAGAAACATTGACTTTTCATTCATTTATTGATACACCTTTTCCTCCCTCTCTCCTACCCCAAGTTCATTTTGCCATGCATGTCTTATTTCAGATCATTAATTATCATACATATAATGCATAATCATCCATTCCTTTGAGATAGTCCTTTCACTCATTCTTTCCCTTTTGTAAAAAGAATGTTGCTTTCAAAAAGCTTCTAACCAGGATGATTCCATACATATCAAGAAAAAAAAAAAGCAAAAGGTCTAACAATTGTTAACTAACAATCCAATAAACATTGCTTCAAATTCAAAGTATAATGAATAACACTAAATTGGAAAATAATTTAAAAAAATATTATTTACCTTGTGTTCCTAAGAGAATTTCGCTATCGCATCACCTATTATTATTGTCTGTGGGCTCTTTGGTGTCTGGATACATTTCTGAATTATATCATCCCCAGTGTGCTTAATACAACTATCAATAAACAGCTACTCAAATGATAGCAAGGTTTGTTAATAGTCTGAATTTCTAGAGATGCTGTTGTTGTTGTTGTTATGTGCCATCTAGATAAAATGTTCAGACTTCCTGCTCTCCTGAGTGGAAGAGAGGACATAGGGAGGGATGAAAGTGGTTGGAGCCCATTCCTTTCTAACCAGAAAGAGAAAAGCCTTAATGATGAGGCTGATGGCCCTGTGGGACAGTCGTCATTCCGTGAATCACTTTACTATTAAAATATCTTTACCTAACTATGATTTGAACCCAAGGGGATTATTAAAAACCACTCAGAGGTCATGAAGTAAACTTACTAAGTCCATATGCCAGCTCCTGCAGAAAGTGTACACTTACACATTACAGCTGAGTGTTCTATCAATGGTGATGATCATTTTACTGGCTTTATAAGATTCCTAAAAATAGTACATGGGCACAGATCTCATTGTCTCGTTCCTCTTCTTTTTTCTTCTTTACTTAAAAAAAGACAACAGTGGATTTTGCCACATGGGACTCCAACACTACTCTCCAAAAGCTGAGGAATTCTGAACAAAACTCAACTCATGGCCACCAAGTTGGAACCTATTCATAGCTGACCTTCTGGGGAGTTCTCAGAAGCTATAAATCACTTACGAGGAGACTGTCCATCTTTCTCTTCAGAGCTGTTGGATTTAAACTGGCGTTAGCAGTACAACTCCCTATGGACTTCGCCACCAGAGAGTCCTAATTTTGAATTAGCAATACATTTACTAACTCTGTAGCTTTTCTTAGCTTAAACCTGTAAATACAGCAAGTCACATAAATAGGTTATCCCGTTATTATTAAAGTTCAGCTTGGGCTTATTCTGCCCATGACAGGCTTTGAAATCCCCTCTTGGGCATCAAATAATGAAAAATAATTTCAATCTTGTTCTAAAAAGCATAATTAGGTTAAATATATTGTCAGAAATTAGTTCTGATTGCTAATTAAAATGTTGCTTTCAAATGAACTGAATTTTGCAATATCCTCACTTGTGTGTTTCTCATTAAACAAAAGTAATCAAAAACTGACATTACAGAAAAAACCTTGACATTACAAAGTTGATATGGGTAATGGACTTTCATGGAAATGTATATATCTTCATTAGTTGCCTTCCCTAACAAGTATAAAATACATGTTAATTAAAATGTGCATATTAAAGCATTATTGTTGTTTATTGCCTTTGAGTTGAGTATGACTCATAGTGACCCTAAGAACAAAAGGCCTGAAGCCCCTCTACAACTATCAACATTTATCAAAGTTCACAGAGTTTCC